AATTTCAGAGAATATAGAAAATGTAGCGAACATGTACTCTCTTACGTAGCATGCATTCCTATTTATCTCTTGACCTATCCAACACCTACTCGGCATGATTCTAACACCGTAGCTAATTGCTTCATAAACAAACAAAAGTAGCCATAACGTGTGATGAAAAGAGTGTGTGTGTTTTTATTTTGTTCTTGCTCAAATAAACAAATGTACATAGCTTGACATTCCGCAACTCTTAGACAAATACCACCAGAACTCGGCATAGTAACCTAGGTGATATGTTGCTATGACAACATAAAATCGTTCGTTCCATTTTTTTTTCTAGTCTGTATAGCATTTTTAAGTAGCAACACCTTTGAAGGAGACCATTAGTAATCCGCCCAACTTTTTTGGAAACTAATGAAGAAAAAAAAACTGCAAAAACTAAAAGACATATCTTCTAATCATTAATGGGTGCAAACGATAAAACTCATTTAAGTACCATGATAAATATATGATATTTCATGGGAATTGTGTGCGAAATTGGCTTATTTTTCCCTACCCGCTGATTGGCTGAAATGAAAGAGATTTAGTAGGCTACATAAAAAATACAGTCATCAGTAAAGTGAAGTACTGTCATAGGTAAGTAGATTCTATTTGCTCTACTTTTGATTAATGTTTTAGTCACAATAACTTCATTACGAAGAACATACCCCTTCTTGCAAATGCAAGATGATATCAATATGACGCACTCACAAAAAAGCCAAAAAATATGTACAAAAATGAGTAAGAATACAAAAAATGCCTACCGTAGAAACTAGGTATTAAGTTGAATACTCTTTGATTATCTAAGAATTTGTTCTTTTTTTCTTTTTTCTTTTTTTATGTGCAAGCACTCGTAACTCTTACAAATTGACAATTATTAGCGTTTACCGTAATGAACTGCCATTAAAAGCACGTAAATAACGAGGTATGTAAGTAAGTGCTGAATATCTCAGTACAGAAATAAAAACAAACGATAATGATATAATTATTTCTTATATGATAATGATAATTAATACAATAACTACATATAATACAAATTTTGCAAAACAAATAGCAGATATTTTACATCAAAGGTGTTTCTATTACAATTAATAATTCCAAAAGAACATTTAAGACGCACGGAGTTGCATTTCACGCAAACTTGTCAAGGGATTGAAGATCCCTTTGATTTTGCATCACGTTGTCATATAGCGTGTACGTACAAATGATTAGAAGAATTCTCTTTATTATTATGAAATTTCTTACAAAAATGTGAATTATATGTCTAACATTAAACAGTATGATGACAAACACGTGTGTGATTTTCTTTTTTAAAAATCAGCTGTGAGTCATCATTATTGCCTCAAACATCTGAAGCAAGACAGTAAAAATCGCTTGTCGGAAAGGTGCTAATCCTCCCACGAACGCTTCTGTGTGAAATCATGCCGCCTTCCAAAACCTTTATCCCAGAAAATATCCCTGTCACCATACTCTAGCTTTTTATAACCATCGTTGTCGAAGCACCTCTCATTTTGAATAATGATTTAACCGGAATTCCTAATCTCTATTATTTCAAAACGCCAGACTTGTTTCAAGGTATTGTGGCACTCCCGCAAAGCAACACACTTTCTTTTCCTGATACTGATTCTAGATAATTGACGCACTTGCACCTTTTTTAACCTACACCTTATTCGTTAATTTTAACAAATACATTTATTTTACAATGTAGGTCATAATGGCTGCCAACGATTTTCTTGTTTCCAAATGGAAGATCTGGTATAAATCCCTGGATGTAAACCATGATGGCACCATCTCCATGGAAGATGTAGAAGAGTCCAGGTACTGTTCACTTCATTCTTCTAATTTTTATCTTCATCTCGTCACCTTAGCGCAAAAACGGGTTAAGTCCTTTTAAATTTGACAAGAGATGACCATTTACAAAAGGATTTATTGCACTAAAGTAACGATCTATTGTCCGGATCCGGAAACTTCTCGTCCAAACCGGAAATGAGCTAAAGCCGTAAATGCGTTATAACGAACTTTCCATTTAAGTTATACTACTTTGTAAATCACATCGTTATTTTCTGAAGCTTCATTGTAGTTCAATTATTACCCTAGTTTGTATGAGAAACCTACAAACGGAACTATACAAAAATAACATATAGATATAATAGAACTTAAGAATAAATCTTATCCTACGACCTGTCTAAGACCCGGAAGAGAAAGGCTCACAAACTTTTATATTTTCTTATAAAAGCAATATTCTCAAATAAATATATTTCCATCAGATGCAATGTATGCGTAATACAAAAAGATAAGCCACTTCATTCCAATAAACATAGAAACAAGAAATTGAAAATAAGTTCTACCTGAATTAGGAACAAAAACATAAATATGTTGCAATAACTGGTATAATTATAAATGGATACTAACAGTCATGTAAAGTTAAATTTTACATTGCGCTTACAACATTTTGAAATTTGTGCCTCTATTTTACATTTTCTATTTTTTCAATTAACTTTTCATCGATGTCATTTACAGGAGACTAAAGAAAGAAAATCCATGCTTTCCACAAAGCAATAGTGACTGAAGTTAAATAAAAGTATTTGAAAAACAGCTGTAGATACATGTATATATATTATTGCAAAGTAAGGGATGATGGATGTCGCAATTGCAGCACTGTTATTGCTAGTTATTATTTTATATTTCAGACAAAAGTTCAGTGAGCTTCACCATCTTGACGCTGAAAAGAAGAAGATGGTTATGGAAAACTTCGAGAAATGGTGGAATGAATACGTCTTCAGGGGAAAGAAAGGAGAAGTCTCAGAAACACAGTTTATTGAGGCCCTTCAGAACGATTACAAGGCTGATAAAAATAAGTTCAAGAAACAAATGGAGAAATGCTTCGACACCATCTTTGATGTGATTGACACTAACAAAGATAGATCCATTTCCGAAGATGAATTCCTTATTGCTTTCGAAGCATATGGCCACGAGAATGTTGCTCTTGATACAAAGTTTTTCAAGGCTTACAATCCAGTTGACGGACTTGTACCATTGAAAGATATTGTCGCCTCTTGGGTAGACTTTGCCACAAGCTCTGATGCGTCCAAGCCAAGTGTAGTAAAAACTGCATTCGAGGCAGGCGTTTAAAAACATTTACAAGGGTTTTTCCTAGGTCCAAATATTTACCATTTATATCCCCTGTTCAGTGACATTGAAACACAGGCAGAATATAAACAGTTCGATAGATACAGAGGAACATATTATCTTCATCTTAGAGGCAGACCATTGCGATGAGAATATGCGACTTTTTACGTCATCTTTAGTTCATCGACATCACAGAAACACTTTCAGCCATAACCATGGAAACAGCGGGACTTGATTTTTTTTAACTGATAACAATAAGAACAAGACTGGTGACTTCAATGACTTTAATGTCGCAGTTATCAAATGGCTGATATATTTTGTCATCGACCTCGTTTAATAAAAGACCATGATTTCCACACTGAGTTATTCAATAGGCCTTTAATTTCTTTCAAGCTCTTCTTAACAAGATGCCTTATATACCATTGGAGAAATGTGCAATAACATCAATTTTTCTTTTTTCAATTTAGTGTTTCCATACAAAACTACCGGAAAAACAGATCCCTTTAAAAGGGTCCCTAAAATGAATGAAGTACCACAAGTAACATGAAAAAACGTTAATACAATAATGTTAATAATCACTATCTATTTTTAATTTAAGTCAAACATTTATTCGCCTGGCAAATTTAAATATGGACCTTACCTTAAAATGCAAGGTTCAGAGGCGGCTTCCTTTTTTGTTTTTGTTTTGTTTTAATGCTTCAGACATATATTTCTACTTCTAAACAGCAATGGATTTTGTAACACTAAAGAAATCAAAGCAAACCTAATTGATTACAAATTTATTAAGAGATTTGATTTTTTGAGTACTGGTTTAATGATACTGCTTGTACTTTAAAACACATTTAGTTTATGAGTGTAATGAAGTTTTACAAAAACATGCTAAATAAGGTATTGACTTTGAAAGATAAAAAAAATGCAACTACCAAATTTAGTTATATTGTCAACTCTTCATGTCACAGATACATTTTTTAAAACATTTTAAACTTGATAATTTTTTACCTGACTCGGATGAAAACTTACGGTAGGTAGAAATATCATAATCGGCAGAGGCGCGGTGTTTTTCGTCTGTAAGCGTACAAGACTTGTGTTATATTCTTTACGCGTACTTCCGGATGAAATGGAGCAATTGTGGAACCTCGTGTCGGTATTATTACGTCACACCATGTTGGCATGTTCTAGGTTTGACTTTGTATTTATTTCTAAAACCATTGCATTATGTAGAAGTAGTATAACAAGATATAATATCAGTTTGTTTATTTTCTATTTTTTATTTTTCTTTATATTTTAATCTATATATTTTATCAAATGCATGTTCGTGTCGCAGAAGTAATGTTCTCCATAGACTTATGATAATAATGACATCATAGTTGATATCATTATTTAAAATTTAAAATATAAACAAGTTTTTTTTTCATTACTTGATTTACAAAATACAAAACAAAAATAAAACATCAGTTGATCGAGTAATCGTTTTCTCTTTATATAGAATCTATATCATTTATTACGCGGAGAATGTTACTTCTCCGTTCATGTATAGTAGACTAGCAGAATAATGTCATGATTGTAGTGATATTGATATATATGTAAATACTTAATGCATATCATGTTGTAGTCGATATGATTTCCTTTTTTTCCCCAGTTCGTTCTTATAAATGTGCCTGCCTAACTGATACATAGTCGTTAACAAATAGTAACTACATAGTAACTAAAAACTAAAGAATCTATAACATAAACTAGACTAAAATAATCCTTATTCACTAAACACAAAACAATTTTCAACAATTCGTTGGATAATACGTGATGGAAAAAAAGACATGTAAATCTCATTTCTCTCCCTTATTTGCTTTTTTCAGATATGGCCAACGATTTTCTTGTCTCTAAATGGAAGATCTGGTATAAATCTCTTGATGTTAACCATGACGGTAAAATATCCAAGGAGGACGTCGAAGAATCTAGGTATTGTCATAGTTACAGATATAATCATTCTATCGCCAGACCCGAAATCTCCAAAATTCCCTGTCTTTTCGCAATGACTTAAACTCCTCGGTAAGGTTGATGCCTTGATATCAGGTTGAAGCAAGTTTGAAGATCTTCCTAGTGTCCTCATTTTGTAGCAATGACTTAACGTCCTCGCGAGGTATGTGTGCTAATTGTGGGTTGTAGCAAGTTTGTAGATCTTTCTAGTGTGTTCATTATGTAGCAACGACTTAAAACCTCGGTAAGGTGTGTGCCCCGATATTGGGTTGAAGCAAGTTTGAAGGTCTGTCTACCTAGTGTCCTCACTTTGTAGCAACGACTTAAAGTCCTTGAGAGGTATGTGTGCTAAAAGTGGGTTGTAGCAATTTTGTAGATCTTCCGAATTTTCTATGGGGCAATGACAAAAAGTCCTCGGTGAGGTGTGTCCATGATAAGTGGGTTGTAGAAGTTTGAAGTAATTTTCCTATTGAATATTATTAAGTGGTGGTCATATTTAGCAGTTCCTAAAGGTTATAAGACAAGTTTCAACTGAGGTCTAAAATCCAAAACACAACATTTCAAATTCCTGCATAGATCAACATGTATACTGAAAATATTCAAAATACGATACAGAAATGTACTATGAATCAAATTAAAAAATGCGATTCTTTGTCTAATGTCAATATTCAATGCATGTTAATACTTTTGATTTTGGGTCGATTTGCAGAATAAAAATAATTATTCTGGAAAACTGAATGGGCGATAAATCTGAAATTAGCAACAAAATAATCTGAAATTTTGGCACACTAGTTGATGGTCGTGACATATATCAACTATCTCTATAAATGTCAATTGTTTGTTGGCCTGGTGCTTTTTTATACAATTAAGTCATTATCTCGGCGGAAGGCCCGCCACCCTGGCTTTCCTGGATAACTTACCTTATGTTTTGCAAGTGACCAAGTACTTACTAATCAAACATGATATCTGAAGCAGCAGCGTGAGACAACTAATCATAAAAACTCAATGTCCGCGATCATTTATCATATAGAAATGACGCCTTGTCCTCGGATCAAACCAACACCACCTATATTACAAATGCAAGGCGTAAATTATCAAAGGAAATCCAAGGGGTTTACATGTTGTTGGTATAAGTCCTTTACTGAAGCTAATGCTTCATCAGAAGGCAAAATTAAGAATGAATAAAGATTGCAACATGTTTACAACTAGATTATCTTATTACCTTTCGAGGCCCTCTATCTAGTTATATACCCTTCTTTTTTATTACTGTATGTAGTATATTTACTGTAGCTAATAATACTAATTCTTTGCTTTTTATTTCTTTATTTCTGTATCTTTTTTTAAATCTAAAATTATACAATCAATTAATTATTTTATTTTACTTATTCATTTTAATTAATTATTTAATCAATTTGTTTATTCAGGAGCAAGTTCACTGAGCTCCATCATTTAGAAGCGGATAAGAAAAAGCAGGTAGAAGAAAACTTCGAGAAATGGTGGCTTGAGTATATATTCCGTAACAGAACGGGAGAAATTTCAGAATCAGAATTTGTTGAAGCCCTAAACAAAGACTTCAAGGCCGACAAGAAACAGTTTGTAAAACAAATGCAGAATTGTTTTGACACGATGTTTGCAGTTATAGACACAAATCAAGATAGGTCAATTTCTGAGGAGGAATTTCTTATTGCTTTCAAGGCTTACGGCCACGAGAATGTAGCTCTAGACACCAAGTTCTTTAAAGCCTACAACCCGGATGCAAACGGACTTGTGCCTATGAAAGATATCGTGGCATCCTGGGTAGATTTCACGTCTAGTGAGGACAGTTCTAAGCCTAGTGTTGTGAAAACAGCGTTCGAATCAGGCGTATAACAAACTGACCAACTGACCCAGAGGGAAAAAATGAAATATCCAAAATTATTATTTTCCGACCAAAACTTTTCAAACATTCATACATAAATATAGCTGTTAAAGAACAAAACAAATAAATTGCCTAGAAAAAAAGCGGGACTGCGTAAATATTACATAAACAAAGATTAAGAACAGAATAAGTTTACATGTATAAAACCGTATGTATATAATTTGATACTAGCATATGTATTTTTCTACGTTATAATGACAAAGATTATTATGTGCTGAACAAACTACGTGAGAAGCAATCAACGAATTCAAGTATAGTACTGGATAGCTTTATGCGCTGAACAAACTACATGAGAAGCAATCAACGAATTCAAGTATAGTACTGGATAGCTTTATTTTTTATACTTTTCTAGCATACTAACGTGTACTGAATGTAACAAATTTATCACTTTTCATTCCCATGTTGTTAATGGATTGTTTGTATAAAGAATAAAATCTTCTGACCACTTTGTGGAATATGATAAATGTTAACTTAGTTACAGTTTTCATTTTACTTTTAAACAGCAGTTCCTCTTAATCTATCAATTACAAACAATATACATGTTGAAATTCTTTTAATACGACCATTCAAATAAAGACAAAAACTTGCAATATTTAGGTTTTATCGGCAGCAAATGATTCAATTCTTGATCTGCTGATTTCATAATAAGCATCTGGCTTGGAAAACCCCATCCGTTGTGTTTCAAAATGCCCAGGCGTATAAATCCTGTCCAGAGTATACGGTGTATAGTGAGCGGATATTTGGAACACCCTAATATTAGTAGTCCTTATCCGAAAACTGACGGAAATACTAGTAGCCGAAAAGAGGCTTATTAAGACTGACGGAAATAGCCGAAAGGAGGCTTATTAAGACTGACGGAAATAGCCGAAAGGAGGCTTATTAAGACTGACGGAAATAGCCGAAAGGAGGCTTATTAAGACTAACGGAAATAGCCGAAAGGAGGCTTATTAAGACTGAGGGAAATAGCCGAAAACGGGCTTATTCCATTGTCAAATAGCTTGATCTATCAACATCTCAGCTAAGCCTTAATCTGCTGAATTTGAATAATGGAATAGCCCAGTTTTAAATTTGGAACAGTCTATTTTAGGATATAGGGATTTTTCAATATCAAAATACAAAAAAGAAAACAAAACTGAGTTACCGCCAGTATAGAGCCTTGAATTAGAACAGTCTTTTTTAAGTTATAGGGATTTTCAGTATCAAAATTTAAAAAAAAATGAGTAACCGCCAATATAGAGCCTAACACTGCACGGATGGGCAAGCTGATTTAACTGTTATAAGTGACAAAGGCTATTTAAATCACTTGGGGTTCGAGCAGGTTAAATCTTATCTAAAATATAATAATCTTAGCTCGAATGTGAAACTAGATCTTAGAACTTAAATTATAATCTCTTTTGAGTGCGCTCCATAGAAACACCTTAATATCATTGTCATCTTCGCCACATTCCGAATTTTATATTTATCTAAAAAGCGTTTGGTCGACATGATCATTTAACACTTCTGGTCATACCGACGCTTATTAGATCTATATAAAACACGAAAATTGGCAGGGTGTGCGATATTTTGATGTATTTGATAGTCATGACGTGTATATAAATGATATAATAATATGGACCTGAACCGATAAAAGTCAAACTACTGAAATAAAAAAATGAAAATGCACCACTTTTAAATTTCAGTTTTCAAAATTTGTTCTCAAGTCTTAAAAATATGCTTATGGCAAACCCCTTTTTCGACTTTTCGGATGTAATTTAAATAACCAAGTAAATATAAATGTTTGAATATCGTTATGGTGTAAATATTTTAACTGATATCCAATATAAGTCTTAAGTGGAAATTTTAATTCTTTATTTTGTATATTATCATTATATTAAAAACATAAAGATAAAAACGTAACACGTAACACCTATAGATAAATGTAAAAGAACAATAATCTGATTAAATACAGAATGATGTAATAAACCTCTGCTTAAGCAGAATGGAATGTGTAGTTTTAAATCACTGAAATAGTTCTATATACAAGAAGGCTTCCTGAGTGAGGTATTCAATATCTTCACGCCGCCGGGCCCCTAACTTCACGCCGCTAGGCAGCTGAGTTCACGCTGATGAACCGCCAACTTTACGGCGCCATACCGCCAACTTCATGCCGCTATGCAGCCAACTTCACGCCGCTAAATCGCTAACTTTACGACGCTAGGCAGCTAAGTTCACAGATCTAAATATTCAAGTAGTGAAAGCAATACACTGATTCTGAATAATAAATATCTTTGAGTACAATATTAACACTGGCCAAATTAATATGAAAAAATCGACATATTGTTATTTGACACCATATTGCCTCAGTACTGCCAAAAGGACCGTAATAGTTTTTCCAATATTTTTTCCCGAGTTATTTATTACATTATAAAAAAGGTATACTTTCAAATACATGTACATGTATCTATGAGAATACATATAGTGATAATTTCTGTAAGGAGTTGTGATATCAAAGCTTTTGGAATGATAATTAAAACAACATTGTGAGGAATTTACAGTCCTGTGTTTCCGGGTATATTTAACAAAATTCGCTTCAATTTCAATACTTCCGAATCAATCCCTTTCACGACATGGCTGCACTCGTCAGTTTTTAGAAAATCAATGAGTTTCACATCAGATTTTGCATCGTGTCTATCTTTTTGTAAACTTTCAGGAAGTTCCTTCAAAGTCACGCATGCGCAGTTTGTGATTATATTACCACAGTCGGATATATTCCGTTTTTGGTGATTTGTGAAAGAATCAGCTTTGAGACATTTATAGCATCGTCTATTATTACACGTGTTACATTTAACGTTATTGAAACACGTGCACGTGTCATTCCTAGGGTAACTCGCTTTCAAACAATCCGCATTATCTGAAATTTTATCATGTAGACTGTTCGAGTTATCAAACATAATGAGTAAAGAGGCTGCTTGGAATGTCAATCTATTATTTTGACCTAAAACTAACAGCAACTCGTCTAACTTGTTAACGATTCTATGAATCACATCCGTACGGAGCCGTCTACCATCGTGAAAAAAGTTCCCAATTTCCTCAATCACTTGCTCTGTGTTAAAATAACGTGTTGTATCTTTGTGCAAAACGACGTAACTTCCGGTGCTCATGTCAAATTTCTGTAATGTACAAAACGAAAATGAGAATCGGTAAAAAGAACAACATTGATTCTGTTCCTGAAACAATTCGTGAATATTTGCTGCACAGTAAAAGTAATTGTTTAAAAAATCAATGTGGATGTCGTCTAACTTGTATTACCTCTATTTAACCCTTTGCCGGCTTGCTGGAACTTTTTTCTACCCATACGATCAATGCAGTACAAGATAAACCTACACTTCCGGTCTGATCATGGTCTTCACTGTTCGCAGTTAAGTCAGTACATAATTTGAAAAAGTTTCCTGAAATGATGGATGGTGTCGTCCAAATTGAAAAGAAGTCAAGTCCATTTTAAATATCTTACGTTAGTGTTAAACACTTGTGTTTAAACAATACATATCTCTTGAAGTTTGCTGCCAACGAATAAAATCTATGAAAGATATACCTGTTCATGGGTTCGAATCCCGCCAGAGACTTTGGTGTTTAGATGTTCGGAAGGTATCCATCTAGTTAACGTAAGATTGGTGGTTCTACTAAGGTGCCCGCTCGTGTCTGAAATAATGCACGGAGGGGCATCCTTAGTCTTGCTTCACCAGTTTACCTAGAAAGTCGGCACATGACATAAGCATTGTCGATGCGACTTGAAATTGAAAAAAAGTAACGTAAATTAAAATAGATCATAAAACTTACTTTGTAACCGTCTATACGGAATCTCAATTTCTGATTCTTCCCATCTGAAATACTTTCACTGCCGGTCATGGTGCTATCTACCATCGGACATTTACCCAGCTTGATATCAATGATGCTTGGGCAGTCATAGCCAAACAACAAGTTTTCCATCACTATAAATTCTAAAAATTGAGTTAAGGGTTATCGTGTCTGAAAAGGTAAATTGTCCGTAAAATTTTCAGTTTGCCTACCTAACTAGATAAATAGTGTAAACATGGATTATTCACTTGTTTCTCTGGCAAAATCTGTTTGTAGTTATAAATATCAAGATAACTTTCTAGTTCGCTTCTTTGACTAGCTAGTGCCGATGATATTTAAAAAAACCCGGGACGGTAATCATTTCGACAAGAGCTCAACTTGATTTACCTTGAAACAAAAGAAAACAGAAGGAAACACTTCTTTGTCCTAAAGTCTTCTACATAAAATCTAGAATTAGCTCGGTTTCCATGCAGTTGATATTTATAATCGACCAACAGATCAATGTTATTGCCGTCGCATTGGTCTTTATTGCCATTGCCTCGATAAAAATCACCATTGTTTAGGACAATATTGAATATTTGCGTCGCCTCGGTCAGTTTTGCCCTCGCCTCGGTCTATATTACCATCGTCTTGGACAATATTGCCGTCGCTTTGTCTGATATTGACATTGCCTTGGTCACTATTACCGTCGCCTCGGTAAAGATTCTATATTTTGACCAAATTCCAAAGCGCTAATAATAATGTCAAATATGTCTTTTATACTTGGCTATAGGAATTTCGGACTTAGACGCAGAAGGTGATAGCTAAAATATGTATTGTACATAATTCGTACATATGATATAAGGATACTTTTGGATTGTTTATCCTCCCATGTACCGGCAGCCCTGTTATATTTTTCTAAACACGTGTAACTCCATTCTTCCAGCTCCATACAAAATCTATAAAAAAAAGTATTTAAAAAAAGCACATTCAAAAATATACTTAATAACATTTTCATATGAAATATCATAAAGAAAACATTGATTTACTAAACAATAAACCTTTATGTAGAAACACAGTAAATATATACTTTTTTTTGGAAATTATAAATATACCATAGACAAGAAATACACAAACCGGCTGAACTTAGTCATTTTGCCCATTCTTGTAAACATTAATAAATTAATGTAGATAATTTGAACCGCGTCATGACAAAACCAACATAGTGCGATTGCGACCAGCATGGATCTAGACCAGCCTACGCTTCCGCGCAGTCTGATCAGGATCCATGCTGTTCACTTACAAACACTATAGCAAGTAGAGAAACTGATAGCGAACAGCATGGACCCTGATCAGACTGCGCGGATGCGCAGGCTGGTCTGGATCCATGCTGGTCGCAAACCCATTATGTTGATTTTTGTCGTGACGCGGCTCATTAAATCTTACCTCGAAGAGTTATCATCTTTCGTACAATATTTCTTGACGTCACTATCAGACACAGCAATGGCGTCACTTTTTGTCCATGCGTCTGTACGATCCCTTTGTAGTTCAAGACGCTTGCATTGGTCAACAATATTTCGTGGAATGTTAGATATAAACTGTCTGCGTCCATCCATCGTATACATTATCACATTTATTTCTCCTATGTCAGAAAATAAAACATACAAATTAATGGCACTTAAATAAGCACTTAAAGGTGTATTATATCCCAGAAACAAATATTTTTTTCCTCTTTTAGAAAGGGCAAACATGAGTTTTATAACGTTTAAAAAATGGTTTTAGAGTATGTTAGATTTAATCACCTGAAAGTAGCCATGAATATAGAATTACTGACGTGCATGCAAAATAAACTTAATTACAAAAAATGTACTTATTGCCAAAAATGCAACAAACGCAAAGGATGGTTCAGGTAAGTGGCGATGGGTAACTTTTTCTTAACTATAGCAAGATACCAAAAAAAAAAAGTTATCAAAGCAATTCTGTGGCATAATGGGGCTTTAACAGTACAGAACAGTAACATATATTTATGTTTATAAACATGAAGTAATATGATATTTACAACTCATAAATAAATGATTCAGTGATTGATGAAATAAATCAAATTAGAAAAAGCATTGACTATTAAAATCCTCAAATAACTGTCGGGCATTCTTTAAGATTTAAGTAGGTAAGTCAAATAACTTAAAAAGCATTTTTTCATAGTTTTTTTTGTCTTAATTTCTTTAAAGTTTCAAATTATCTTCTTTTTCAATTTGTATAACTTTGTCAAAATTGTAATAATTTTGCTTTCCTATAACGGCATTTGACAACCTCCAAATACAATTGTATATAAATTTACTGGTATTAATTATACATATCTATGTACTTTGATATTAAGCACGGTTTAAGATGAAACAGTGGCGTACCTACCGATACACCAATACGCACGACAGAGATTGGGAAAAAATAAAAAATGAAATCACTAATTTGGGCGTATATCGATCAACATATTCGTAGCTACTAATTAATACTATAGGTATGCTTAGAATGTTGCCTAATTCAAAAATTTTTACCAATTTTGATAATCAATCAATCAAAGGTTATGAGAGAAGGGATGCCATTTAAAAAGGGAATCATTCTATCGTTGTTTCAGTCTGGAATCCGAGTAATCAAACTTTTTAAGGAAGTATCATTTGAATTTAGTATCATTTATATATGTATAAAACATAAATAAAAATACAACGATAACAATGTATAGCCATATAAGACACGTCATGTCCCAATAATTTTATTTTCAAACAAGTTGGCGAGTCTTTTTAAACTGGTAACATAACTTTATGTGCTTTAAAAACTGTTAAGGGCAATAATTATTTTCTTTAACATTGACATAATACGCATTTCAAAATAGTTTGAGGGACCAAAATGATATTGTGATACTACATTTTAGCTGTGAATACAATAACTTATTATTACATTAAAACATTTTAAGCTGTTCTGTTTGTATTATCGTCATACAGGTCATTTTAAACGTTATTTTCCTTGATTATATCTCAAGTTAAGTTATGACGAAACTAAAGAAAATTTACAAAAAAAAAATTGTTTAAAAATGAAATAATGCCCATATTGATTACAATAGAGATACCAGGCTATGTTTTGTTTTTCTAATATGTAGTAAATAACTTTTTAAATATTTAAAACAGAGTGCCCGTTAGACTTCGTGCAATTTCTCTTACATTCAATACATGTACTTGATGTCATTTTCATAACTAAAGATAAAGACAAAACTAACTTCATTTTACAAATAGATTGTGTCTAATACATGCTAATATAGTAAAAACATCTCTTTGTTAAATTTTCAACACATTAAATTTTTCACCTTGGAGATGTTCCGGCCTGAAAAACAACATAAACTTTATGCCAAATTTCATCAATTGAATGACTGTCTCTAGAGTTTTGGAGGGCACTGTATAATTAGATAAGGATAATTAAATTAATAAGCAAATTAAATATATATTTACCTAGGTATTGCGGTGTAAAGGGCCTTAACTCCTGTGGCATGTTCTTGTAGAATAAAGATTCCCTCTGTCTATAATTTTTGCACACCGCAGACCTTGACACTTCAAGGACGTAGCTATGTCCGCCAACCATGTATCTGTAAGGCCGTAACTCCATCTCAACAAAATCTTCATTCATTGGTCCATCAATCACAGTTACGTCATCACCGGAGTCTGTCTCATCTTGACTCCAATAATTAGAATTGGTATTCTCCGAAGTCATCCGAATTTTAGCTGTCACCTGCTACCTTTAAGTTATATTTAGACTATCAAATATTTCAAATGTTGTTAGTGAAAAGAACGAGATTTTATGCACATATTCTACAATCATTTTGCAATATGTCTAAACACGTGCTGTACGTCCAAACGCTTATTAAGATAAAACCTTCCAATCTCGTTCATATGTGTGTATTATGTTGCGTATGATCTACTTAAGTTAGTGGTTGTTTAACTATAAAAGCAATAGATAATCACTAATCTGGGATTATTTAGAAAGGGGTCAAATTAAACCGTTACAACAATTGTCAAAACCGCGTATAATCCAGTAATCCAGTCATCAAAGCCGTTACGAATAAGAATGGTCATTGCACCTATTTTTTTTTTTTTTTTTTTTTTTTTTTTGCATTATGAGTTGAAAACTTCCCTACACGTTAAGGTCAAATATACACGTATAACGTAATGAAACGTTTTTGCGACATTGAGTTGAAAAATAATTTACGTCACACACACCTGTTCACCTGTTCATAATAGATTATACCGTAAACGGATGCTGGATAGTACTTTTTACTTGATGACCAAGAGGTGATTATCCATGATAATTTGACCAATATTGGCAAAACAAATGTGCCGAACGCCTGTGAGACATACACTAAAAGTAAATGAATATTTAACAAAGAAAAAAAAAACAACAACATAGAAACAACACCACCACAAACAGCAACGAAACATGTATCGTAATCATTGAACTTATACTTATGTTAGTATTTCTATGTGATCATGTTATACTTACAATTGTTTTCTTCCGTAGTCATCCTTATTTATTTATCCTGATACCACAATTATTGTAAATCAATAACTTATGTCAAAGTTATCTTACAGTTATTCTAAAGATAAAGTTAAAATGCAGTACACATTGAAAATGGTCAAATTTTCATGTTGATTTATCGGCGAATAGCCAAACACTTTATTTCTCACGCTCCCTGAAGCATAAATCGAAAGAAGAAAACAGATGTCATAAGCTGACAAAGATTTTGATAATATACATATAAACCAATCTTTACCTGAACAAATTAAAGTCAGTAATATATATACAAATATTTAAAATGTGTCATAATTTTAAAGTAAAAAAAGACGTTTCCCTCTCATCCCATCCGTTGCAACAGTAGCAGACGACAGATTACGTTTCACGCGCGAATTCACGCTTTTCCGATATTGTCTACACATTGAATGCTGTACGTTTAAAGTGCCATTTCACAAAAATACATTCTAATTATCATTAAAATTACTGAAACATTTACTATTTTATGCATAGATCGAAATATTATACTATATATACTGTCATATTTAGATATGGTTGAACACTTCCGGCTGATTTACTTTTATGACAGATACCGTCATTTCACGAGATAGTCAATATATTCCTAAAATACCTTCATTGAATGAGGCATAACGATACAACGTAACTTAAAAACAAATAATTAAACCTATTAAGTTATGTTTATTATTAAAACAATCAAATTGTATACTTTAAGATGTTTATTTCTATATGGTAATTGTTATATACCTTTACGAGGCTCTATATCCAATCCAACCGCATCCTCTCAATATTGGACGATTTTATCAATTCTTTACTTTTTTTTATTTATTTTTTTTTTACCGTAAAACCAATTTAAGTAAAGGATAATGTACATGTAGTATATTTGTCAATACACTGTACAACGTTCACTAACACATGTACTCGTATTTCGATACAATCGGAACATCCTCGGCTATAATCAATAATAACTTACGGAAAGGGCCGAAAAGTTGCGATTGATTTCGATACTTGATTAATTCTCATAAGTTGTCTCCCATTAAAAAATAATTGCCGTTTTAAAAAGCATTTTTTTTCTTCAGTTTTTTAGCACAAAACAATTTATTTTTTTATTTATTTATTTATTAGCTGATACATTCACCATTCTATGGTGATTAACAGTGATTTTTCTCTATAATTTCGTACAGCTAGCTATATTACTTATAAAGTCACTTACCTTTGATATACATGTATGTCGCTCATGTTCTTACACTGTACTACGAAGTGTCCGTCAAATTGGTTGATATTTATATCGACCTAAAACAGTGATTTCCGGGAAATCATAAAGAAATCTGAATGAACACATTATCATTCGCATATACATGTATACTAATAAGATTTCACATATGGATTATCTTTTTCGGAGAACGATTGTTAAATTGTGTATGATTTACATGAAGTGGTCGATACAATCAGATAAAATTGAAGATTATTTTCCGGTATATATTGAATTAAGTACAGTTGTAATTTACTTGTGTGTATTCAAATTAAGTGGAAACTCTACATTGTAAAAATAAAAACAATAGCATTGCAAAGTGTTTCTAAATAAGATGGAAATATAAGATATTTTTCCGTTATGATATATTTCACGCCTGTGATAGGCTAGCAGAGTGGCTATAAGTACAAGAATAATACGGAGAAGTCAATTAACCGAATAAGTTAAATTAAAAAAGGATGTGAACAAATTTCTAAACTTTATGCCTGTGCGCACGTGTCAGTGATGGAATAAACAGGAAATTTTACCAGTATGTTTCGCGGATATACTACAGTTACGTTTTAATCGCTCGGGCTCACGTGCTGGTATTTAACTAATCACGTGCACCTGACGTCTAACTATAATACATCCGGATATACTATCAAACACATTACTTGCAGAGATTCTCTTAGTTTTAAACAGCTTATTTCCCGCATATGTCGAAAAAATGTCATCAAAAATTGAATTGCAACATTTATTGGTTTATACGATTTCATGAAAAGAAACAAACAAACAACTACAACAACAATCAAACAAAAAAAACAAAACAAAACAAACTTAACATTTTATCAATTTTACCATAATTATTTTCAATGCATTCTTCTTCACAATCTACGAGACGCACGGAAGTTTCCACATGAAATTGCCCAAAATCGCGTTTTTCCATGTTTAGACATGGCCTAACATATAAATTTGAATATAAGTATTTATCAGTAGGATTAATTAATCAATTACCACATCAATCGAGACTTTTAGGCAAATGAGCATATTGTCAATAAAGAAAGTTTAAAAGTGACAATTATCTTTTTTGTAAAAAATAAAGTTGAAAACCTTCGAATTTCTTTAAAAAAAAAACAAACAAACAAACAACAACAACAGCAACAAAATCCAGCTATTTCCTCAATACTGATAATTGATTGAAGTCGGGTTTATGGTACGAAATAATTGTGTTTTACAAACCTTACGATAACTTCTGTATGAAATTTGTGTAAGATAACTGTGGATGGAATATTTACATACGCAATTGCATTAATCTCCCTTGATTAAAAAAACGCAACTACCACCTAAACTATTATTCTGAATGATTTATTTTTTGTAACATATTCCTTTAAACATCTGCTAATTTGTCATGAACTGCGCTGTTTGATATTCATTTGGAATATATTTGGAAATTTCCCGTTACATGATCAATGGTTTTGTCGGCAAGATATTTAACGGAAAAAAGGTTGATTTCGCTTCTTACTAATGCACTGCGTTGAGCCTTTTAATATCCATTTTTATTTATTTTTTAACTATTCATTTGAATTTTTCTTACTTTATTTATGTAGATTCAAAGGAAAATTCTTAATCCTTGTCTTATATAACGATAAATATTGTTGTTTCTGTTGTTGTTCTTTATATGTGAAATACAAATGACTTTTCGTGTTGAACTCGTTGTGGAAAATATTAACTGTTTTCTTCTGATAAAAAATGCTAATAAACTATACCGGTATCTAATTGACAAAATCCCACCAAAGAAACGTATTCCCAATTTTATTACACACGAATTAATATAAAACATTTAATTCAAAGATATGTTTTGGTTATAAACATATGTACCAAGCGCAACCATGTGATCTGAAATGACATCTGTTGTATTTGTATTGATGTAGGGTCAATTCTTTGCAATGCGTGGTATTAATAAATTTCTTAAAATACTGTCATAAACAAGATCATAATTATTATTATTGTTATGCTTAAAATCCAAATTTAGGCGTTTATACATGTATATGAGGCTCATTCCCAGACATAACTTTACGGTCATTTCCGACAAACTCCGGTTATCGGCGAGGTGTTCCGGCTACTGTATTCCATGAACATGGTCGATCTCATTACAATGCACAGGTGTTTATTAAAAAAAACAAAACAAAAAAACCTGTCAACTTTTATCTGCCTGTATTTGAACAAAGTACAAAATGTACTCTTCCACCTTTCTCATTTTGAAATTTTAAGCGTTATCATAGAGAGCCGGTGAGTGGTTTATGCAAGTCTAATGATGATATGTTCGGGGAGAAAGAGCAAAAGGGGACTTTTTCGTATTATCATGTCTCACTATCACGAAAACCGCAATGATACATCATATAAAACCACAAAGACACGACAGGTTAACCACAGACACAACATTGTGTATCATGCTTTCGTCATTTCTCATCTTCCCCATTACATTCATGTAATTATATAGATGTGTTTTTTTTCGTTTGCATTTTCAGCCTAATACACGTTTACAAAGAAACATTAACGCACACTTTTCATGTGACATAACATGGGAAGTTTGTTATTATTCCCTCTTTGAGCCACGTTGGTGAAGTCATCGAACATAATGACAATTCAAAAACTGTATGTAATGTGAGTGTATGCGCAGACTTGATGACTTCATGAACAACTACAATATCAAAATTTGTTTTTTCTTTTTCCTTGATATGAACGATATCACAAACCTGTTTTTCTTTCCCTTACTTGAACTAGCAGCGCTGTAGAATAGGCAAAAAAAGAAGTGCAATAAATATGTATCTTTTATATAAACAAAGCTGTTTCTTTGCTTGTGTCTGTTTCACAGACTTGACAAAACTGGGGTGAAACTATAAACAAGCACTGGAAAGTTGATAATAAGTTTTAATAAGTTTTCGTCATAAAATATATGTCAACAGTTTCAAATATATATACTTAGCCTTAACATTAATCAGATAAGACCCGTTGTCCAAGACATACAAATTGAAAAAAAGTTAATGAAATAAAAGAAACATCACTTCAACAAATATAACGTCACTTTACCAACAAAAGAAATGAAAGATGAAAGCTCAAATTATGGGGCAGTTAACTCTAAAATGACCATGACATTCTCATTTATTATACAATGTTTCTAGAAATTCTCTGCGCAAGTTTTTTTTCTCTCTAAAATGCAATACTCCCATAAATGTACTTCATTTACAATGAACGATAATAATAACAACAATAAGTAAATAACTTAATAATAGCTCTGTAATGACATTTAAGGCACTTAACACGCACGCACGCGCGCGTGTATATATATCTGGCACATCAGTTTTATATTTTAACCACAAAACAAAACAAAAACACTGTACATGTATAATCATCTATTTGAAAACTCTTTTATGAATATGAAAATTTATAGCTTTGATATTTTATGATAAGTTTCAATAATAATAACAATAATAATAATAATATGTATGCACGGACACTCTATGACTATCGTTGAATAAATAAAATAATATACATGTATATACTAAGGTGCTAAAGAAATTGAACACTTGGTTACTGGTAAATTTTGTAAATTGTATACTCATTTAAGCAAAATATTGGCGTATTTGATATAAACATTCGCAGAAATGCAATTGACTACACGATGGTGTAAATTCGATTGAAATTTGATTTTTATCACGGGGATGGAAGCAAAATAAAAGATGCAGAATTGTGTCTTCCGTAAATGCATATATACCTTTCGATAATTGAATTTTTGAATGGAACAGCATTTAAACCTAAGTGCATATGGCGTTACCTCTAATCAGTTCAGTCTAGACCACTTTTGTTGTTCCATAGATGTGATTATATATATATATTTTTTTTACTTATTTGACAGTCAGAAATAAGGATGCTTGTTTACTCATTTTTCCCATTGCACATTTCAGCGACTAATTAACATGGTTTCATAAACTATTTTAGAATATATGTAATTGCACAGTTTAGCATTTTAGAGCGAGGTTTCATAACACTATTCTAGAATGTAAAGAGCACATTATTTACGAATACTAGTATAATGTTATAATGTAGGTGAATAATTAACATGTATTATGCTTTAACTATATATATTGCAACATTGGCAGTGTTGTTTAGATAAACAAAATAATGATTTATCTATTCTTACAATTAACCCAACAATAATTTACTCTAACAATAAACATTATCAATTTTAAAATATATACAACTATTATGTAAATTAAACTGATTTTCAAGCTCTAAGTCCTACTTATAATAACAATTATGCCGAACACTTAAATAGTACACAGACATATTTGTTTAAATATTTTTTATATAACTTATTTTCAATAAAATTGTATTGTTTGTCCAGTCTTACCTAGAATGTCTCAGTAATCGAATACAACTGAATATTATAAGTAAGGTTTTATAAAGTTTAGCAATGTTTTGTGCATGCACCATTTGCTATTGGGAAAATATCCTTACATATTTCTTTCATACACGCATTTTGAAAGCGCTTTTTATAAGAAATTCAAACAATAATTTTTTTGGCAAATATATAATTTTCTGCACTTAAACGGAAATAAGATTTTAATTGAGCTGTACACTATTTAAAACAAGGATCTTCGATTCCCTTTCTATTTCTTTGTGACGTCATAAAATCACGTAAACCCTTAACCTACTGAATAAGATATGCCATATTTTTAATTTGGAATGTCAGTTAAAACATTCAGGAATTTCAATATCAGAATACAAAACTTGATCTCCCAAAAGTATCGAGCCAGATCAGATCTAGTCTGGAGTTCCTTCCCCTTATACTACGTTTCCGTAGTAGTAAATGTCAATCACAACGTTTCGGCCTTTTCCGTCAGTCTTAAGGGTTATTATGAATAATAGCCGAGGGTAAATGTAGGCAGGGAACCAGACTAGATCAGATCGCCCTCAGGTCCAGGCTGGCCTGACTTTATACTGGTGGCAAAGGCTAATTCATTTCGGTTCCTGAAGGTTAAAGGTTATAAAAGCCTATTCTATTTTCTATGACATATATAAATGCTTACTTATATTGCTACAATAAAAAAACACATACAATAAAACAGTAAAAAAACAAAATAAATGTAGAGTAAGACGTTTTTGAGACATATGAAAAATGGTAATTAGTTATCGCTTATGATTAGCTATAACAAATAGTAAACATTAAATTGTATTAAAAACTCCTTTAAAACCAAACTGTTTTACCAAAATTTAAAGATTATATTCAAAATAACTAAATATATAGAGAACAGATTTATGCCGATGCCTATAATAAAGGTTAAAAATATAAAATACAAAATCTTTCTTTTACAAATGAAACAAGAAAATAATTTCTTTTTTCTTTAACATTATCCATCAGGTATCAGGTCAGCCAGTAAACCTGGCTCGTGCCGTCTTACTATTCTGACAGTATATATTTCAAATTTTACATTAAAACTGCATGCCTCCAGATGCGCCAAAAATAATTCAAGAAAGTCAAACTTGAGAAAAATGTTCTAAGATTCAAAATTCAAGTAAAAATTTACATATTATGTGAGATCAATGACTGTTTTTGCGGTATTTACCACAATATTTCTACTGCTGACTAAGCGGTAGGGTTTTATTGCATACTCCTGCCTCTGTTTGGTTAATTTTAGTGGGTTATAAGTGCAGTTTGCAGTGTGCAAATGACTTCCTTTTTTCACTTCACAATATTTTACTTTTATATGCATTTGAAAATAAGCATTAATCTGGAGGCATGCTGCATTAAATGATGAATGATTTTTCTCCCATTTGAAAGATGTACACATCCATCTAAGATATTTCACGTGGCAAGGATTTCCGCTTTCTTCAAAACAAAACAGTTTTTGAGAGAAAAAAATACAACAACTCTAGTCTTAAACTCAGACCGATTCATTATCTTTTAGAATTTGGGCCAAAATTTCTTTTAACTTCATTAGACCATACACAATAGTGTCATCGGCAATATTTTCAACCCCGTCTTTACTGACCATGTTTTCAGTGACGTTGGCAAAGTCTATAACTCTGACATCTACCTTTGTCGTTTTCGTCTCCTTATCGAAACATTTCTCACAAAACGGTTTGTCATTGTTATCACTCTTTACTTGCGATGTATCAGAACAAGTTGCTATGGCGCTTGAAGTATCTAAATTACTCAAATCATGAACAATTTCGTCACTTAACTTTGTACTAGAATTTTCATTCTTGGTGTCCAAACTGAGGTCTTTACTGCACGATTTACAAGTTGAACACCTATTTGTTTTTCCATCATAGATTATTAGTAAGGAAGCTGAATTAAAGAAGATACGTTTCTGAGACATCAGGGCTGACTGCAGCGACTCTAATTTGCTAACAACTTGTCGGATGACGTCAACCCGTAATTCAACACCGTTATGGAAGAATTGCATCAACTCCTTAATGGCACCTTCGGGATCGAGAGCACGTCCAAAATATTTGTCATGGAATGTGTAAACATTAATCTTCGGTTTGTAAACCTAATAAAAATAAAAAAAACATTATATTTAAGTAATAACAAAAAATAAATACAATTTAGCACAGATTATAAATAATCAAATAAGATCAAATACAATCTTAATGAAGTCAAATCTTCAATAACGCTAAGCTAAATGTAAATCATAAGAAGATATAAACTTGTAAGGTCGCATTTTATTTAAAATTTAGAATTAAACACTTAGTACTGTACAAATGAAAATATTAACAGTGCACTGTGAACGGTCCTTGGCCCCGCACTAACCGAAGACACTAAATGCTGGTCCATGGCGCCACACTTAACGCTCTCATCCATGTTTTGGAGACAAACTCCACTGTAGCAATTTGTCCTTAACATAACATTCTAACACGGTTCACACTATGCCACTATCAAACAGATATGGCCATCTAGTGCATTATAAAGACATATTGAATGAGTGAAATTTAATACTAAAATCATTGATCCAATTCAATAAAATAATATTATGCGAGTGTCCAACAACACGTTTTTATCAATTCTCTTTTCTATTATCATTTAAGAATGAAAATAGATTTTTTTGCATTATAGTATAACAATTCAATGTTTATCGTTCAAATGCTTTGTAATAAATCGGTCTTCGTGATCTTAATTATTCTTGCGCATTTGAACTCCAACCGTGTATTATTCTACAACCATGCATTCAAAATTGATATAAATTTCCTTAATAACTAATTCGTGTAAATGCAGGGAAAAGTCCTAATCTGCTTTTAAAGAATGAGTTGATTTTTTGCTTCCGATTGAGACGACTGATTGAGTTCCATGTAATAACAAATCAAAACTTACATAATGTGACAAACCTGTTTTTTTTTTCAACAAACTGCACACAAATAGAAATAAGATAAAACCCAAATGAGCCGCGCCATGACAAAACCAGTGCGTCTGATAGCGAAGAGCAAGGATCCTGATCAGACTGTACGGTTGCGCAGGCTGGTCTGGATCCATGCTGGTCGCAAACGCACTATGTTGGTTTTGTCATGTCGCGGCTAAAATATCATTAAAATTTCGAGACTGTGTTGATCGCGGGATTTTAAATATTTTTGTCCAAGGTTGATCGCATCATGTCAAAATAGAGAAAAATAAATAGTAACGTGCTTTAAAGACTGACCTATATCTGTAGGTATTTTCCTGTCACAATTTTGCTTACCTGACTTCCGCATAAACGGAAACCGAGTGTTGCAGACGTTGACAGCGCGTACCGGTCTTCAAGCAACTTCCGTTTCTCTTCAGTCTCATCGTCAGGCCCATACTTGCGCACGCCCATTTTCAGGTCCATTAGACATGGACGCTCATAATCGCAGACCAAATTCTCCAATATTATAAATTCTTCATATGATTAAGGAATAATAAATTTTCTACACGTTGTAACTAGCTAATCAAAGAGTATAAAACTATATCTAATGAAATGGTTTGTATAAAACTTATAAACTGTAAATCATTTTGCTTTCAAAACCTTTAGGTTGATTCTTAAAAGAGTTGCCGCAAAAAGTGAAACAGTCAATATAATTAGCCTGTTTCATTTCAAACAAAGAGAAAATATATTTCTTCTCATCTTACCTTTATAAAATACTGGCATTCTGGATAGTAAATTGTCAATTTCAGGGAAGCAAAGATGAAAATATAAGCCATAAGAAATTTAGAATAAGCTATTGGATTGTATTGGTGATCAAAATCTATCAAAGCTGTCGTTATTTGCGTAAAAATATAAATTCTTGCGTCTGATTTAAGTAAAGACTATCTTCGAGTTTATAAAAAAAAGAAATAGATAGGAAATATGAATGTGTGCTTTTTTCTAAATATCACATTGCGTTCAGTACTATGCCCTTAATCAAATACCCGTATCTCTGTTGTGTAAAGGATACTTTGTGGCTGATTGTTAGCCCAAAACCCGTACTGGTTAATCTGTCTGTCAATGCACGTGGAGCTCCATGCTTCCAAACCACTGATAGAGTCACTATAAATCATAAATCACACATGTACATTGTACACTGTATTTCTATAGGGTTTTAAGTCAAAACACATTAGTAAAGGTTATATGGTGACTTTACAGTTTTTCTGGCAAAGAAAGACATTAGGTGAACCTCAGTGCATTATTTTAAGCTCAAGGGGACACCACTGTAGAACCACCGACGCTTAAAACTTTCATCACATAGAATAATACTAAATTCCATGAGGAATTCAGTACTGAGGTAAATATTATTTAATAAATTTGATTACAAACTTTTAAATGAAACTAATAAAAGCATTGTTTATAACCTACTACATGTATCTGTATTACAGTTAATTCAGTTTTATTTGAATTTATATTGTATGAACCAATTGTCCATGGTTAATTATGATTATAATTATGATCATTTCAACATCTGATAAAATGCATATACACTGGGGAAAAAGAAAACATTTTTCTAGTGAAACCATGAAAATACAGCAGACTTCCGAACATAGGAACGCTAATCGGCCAAGTTATAAAAATGTGTATAGGTTATATATTACTTTTTTTCATAAAAGGTTATATAACATATAAGGCCATATAACATGTCAAAAATCTTTATAATAAATTCATAATACTGCATTATAGCTGCCTTGTATGTAAGAAATATGTATGTAACGATTATATTTACCTCAGTTTTATATGAATTTATATTGTATGAACCAACTGTCAATGATTAATTATGGTTATATTATTTCAACATCTGATAAAATGTATATACACTGGGTAAAAAGAAACATTTTTCTAGTGGAACCATGAAAATACAGCAGACTCCCGAACATAGGAACGCTAATCGGCCAAGTTATAAAAATGTGTATAGGTTATATATTACTTTTTTCATAAAAGGTTATATAACATATAAGGCCATATAACATGTCAAATTATCTTATTGCTGCCTTGTATGTAAAAAATATGTATGTAACGATTATCAATTATAAGAATATGTTACACGTGCATATCGTGCTAACTTGAACTTACCTATGAGGACGTTTTCGGCGCTTTTTCACGCACGGGTTGTATGCACTATGTTGTACTGGCTCGTGGTGATTTTCTGCACGTGCTGGGCCATCACGTGATGCTATCTCTGACGTTACACGTGCTACCAGGAATTTTCTATCATTCTGTATATCGCATGTAACATAAGTTTCTCCTGCAACAAAAATTCGTTTAATTATTAATTAACGGATACGTGTATGGAATTAGTTAGGATAACTAAACTTATCTCAAACTGCACAGTCATGCTATAGAATTCAAAATTTTGTGTACAAGTGACAGTTAGAAATTGATCTGTTATATAAACCTTTTATTAATGCATTACCTAATAAGAAACTTGATCCTTAACTATTCAAATATTAAGGTAAAGTTCTAAAACTTAAATAATTTAATTGCTGAAATTTTCGCTAAATTAAGGTAAGTAAATTGCATTCCAATTCAAATGTTATAAATATCATTTGAACAATGTATTCATTATAATCAATATCACATGGCCATATTTGAGGCTTTCAAATAATGGAGTCAGTTTAAATTCACCATATCAGATGAAGTTGAATACGGATATTTCCATAATTGATTAATCATGTGTACATTATTATATGAAATACTCCTCATTTTATTGTTATCCTTAATTACTGCATAACACATTTAAATAATATACATTATGTATATTATTTAAATTTGTTATGCAGTAATTAAGGATAATAAATGAGCCGCGTCACGACAAAACCAACATAATGGGTCTGCGACCAGCATGGATCTAGACCAGCCTGCGCTTCCACGCAGTCTGATCAGGATCAATGCTGTTCGCTTACAAACCCTATAACAAGTAGAGAAACTGATAGCGAACAGCATAGATCCTGATCAGACTGCGCGGATATGCAGGCTTGTCTGGATCCATGCTTGTCGCAAACGCATTACGTTGGTTTTGTCGTGACGCGGCTCAAATGTATGGTAAAACAGTATTTATTTCGGAGCCACTTTCGCCTTCCTTCAAGTTCTTTGAGCGCTTTTCGTGATACCCATTTTTAGTACATTTTTGTCACGTGATAGAGTTTTTTCAGTGTGACGTAATTATTTGAGAAAATACCAATATGGCGTCTCGCATAATATACATCATTATTATGGTCCATAACTAAAAATAGACACAAAAATACATACATTCCTACATACCTAGATATTTCGGTGTGAAATCTTTTAATTCCTCGGGCTCATTTTCATAGAACCACGCTTCTCTTTCGACATACGGTTTACATATCGTTGAACGGGTAAGCTCAAGGACGCATGTATGGCCCCCGACTTGATGCTTGAAAGGTCGAAGTTCAACTTCTACACAGTTGTTTGAATGATCCGACATTGCGGCTGCTTGCGAAACCTCTATATGTATCAATTCTGTAAAAAAAAACATGTAATTATGAATACATGTATTCATGAGCCGCTTAATGTACATACGTAACGCAATAAAGTAGGTACATCAAAGACATAAGTAAGCTAATCTAGCTAGCTTTATAAGACTTTCAATTCAAGTTTTTAGAAGACACGACAATGTATAAAACGACAGTCCGTCGTGTCATATACTGTCATTTCATAAAATCAAACGGCATAAACTGTCAGCATTCTATATACTGATGTTTCAAAAACAGTCGTTTTACGTACTCTTTTTTCATACACTGTCGTTTCACACATTGTCGTGTCATAAACATGTACAGTCGTTTTATATACTGTCGTTTCATTCATTGTCGTTTAATATACTGTCGTTTTTAAACTCTCGTTTCATACTTTGTCTTTCACATTCAGTCGTTTTATACTGTAGTTTCATATTCTGTCGTTCTCGTTTCATAAGCTGTCGTCCCATAATTTGTCGTTTCACACATTGTCGTTTTACACATTGTCGTTTCACACATTTTCGTTTCATAAACAGTCGTTTCACACAATGTCGTTTCATATACTGTCGTTTCACACAATGTCGTTTCATATACTGTCGTTCCACACATTGTCGTTTCATATATTGTCGTTTCATACATTGTCGTTTCATATACTGTCGTTTCACACATTGTCGTTTCATAAAATGTCGTTCCACACATTGTCGTGTCATATACTGTTTTTTCACAAATTGTCGTGTCATATACTGCCGTTTCACATATTGCCGTGTCATATACTGTCGTTTTACACATTGTCGTGTCATATACTGTCGTTTCACATATTGCCGTGTCATATACTGTCGTTTCACACATTGTCGTGTCATATACTGTCGTTTCACACATTGTCGTGCCATATACTGTCGTTTTACACATTGTCGTGTCATATACTGTCGTTTCACAAATTGTCGTGTCATATACTGTCGTTTCACAATTTGTCGTGTCATATACTGTTGTTTTACACATTGTCGTTTCATATACTGTTGTTTCACACATTGTCGTGTCATATACTGTCGTTTTACACATTGTCGTGTCATATACTGTCGTTTCACACATTGTCGTGTCATATACTGTCGTTTTACACATTGTCGTTTCATATACTGTCGTTTCACACATTGTCGTGTCATATACTGTCGTTTTACACATTGTCATGTCATATACTGTCGTTTCATACATTGTCGTTTTATATTCTGTGGTTTCATACATTGTCGTTTCATACACCGACGAATATTTTCATAAACTGACGTTTCATTTTATACATTGTCGTTTTATACATTGTTCCTTATAAAAAATTTAACTGGAAGTCTTATTAAGCTGGCTAGATATATATTTACATTATAGAAGTTTCTTGGTCTAGTTTGATATATAACTATTTTATATCGTAATTATCCTTTCAAAACGCAATATTGTTATTTAATGTAATCATGCAGCCCTTTAGTACAAAGTTTGGATAAGTTGAAAACTAAATAAATGACACTTTTATTAGCGTAATATAGCGTTTGTCATTTATAATTAGTTTCTCTTTTAAAGATCAAACCTCTTAGAATTATAATAATAATGATAAACTTTATTCATACAAAGGCAGTATGTCAACCAGTATACAGTTAAAGCATGATATACATGAAGTAGGTCTATTCCCAAGTCAATTATTATTCATAATAACATATATAAATATATACGTATGTATTGTCCTGGGATGATAATTTGGTCTTAACGGTAATTGGGAAAGTCCATTTCAAGCAAAGTCTGCATATTATCCGAGATTGAAAGTGTCAACAACTATATATTTATATAGTTTAATTCTAATTTGTACCATTCTAATTTGTACCATCGTAGTGGCTCAGTTGGTAAATCAACGTCACTGTAACTTCTATTGATTTACACTCATAGGTTCGAACCCTACGCTAAGCAAAGTTATAATGATGGTGTTGTTTTGTTTTTCCTCCTTTTATACTTCGTCTGTCTTTTGTCTGATCATTTGAATATATTTTGTTTATATTCATATCAATTCATATCGATTTACAAGTAGATCGTACAGTTTACAGAATATACCGACTACATGGTCAAATGCAAAAGTGTCAGGTCAATGTTGTTGGACAATACCGTGCACTGTCTTTTAAGTAAACTTTTGAAAACAATACATATGTATCGCTTAATTTGTAACTATCAACACATTTTCAGATTCAAATAATTCTCTAAGGTTTGGTACATTAGGTCTCCTTCAAAAAATTTTTTTTCATATAATTATATAATGTGAACATACACCATACACTTTAAAATGTCATGTTTCATCTTCTGAATATTATACCCAACAAAGACGGACGAAAAACCCCACTTAAATAAATTTATGTCGAAAGTATATATATCGCACGAACGATTTAAATATTCGGTTGAAAGCAACAGATTAAGATAATGCAACATTAAGTAACGAGCTTTAAATATTACGTAACATTAGCAGTATAATTTGTCTAACATTTTATCACACAAACTAAAATTATTAAAGCATGAAGTAGAAATATATAATTTTTTTATTTTGCCCGCACCTCTGTCCGCTTTCTGTACCAAGTTCTGGTGTCCTTAAGACAAGAATAAAACAAAATCACTCTGGTATAATTAGCATTTTTGCATTGAATTGGACAAAACTTAAATGCTTCAATAATACGAGCGATGCTTGCGTGATGTACAAATATTCACATGTAGATTAAATAGTTTTCTTTATAAGCATAAGTACACATTTTCACATGTTGCAAATGAGTCAACAGTGACACAATAAACACATTGTCATGTCCTGTTTTGGTTTAAAATTAAAACATCAAAACCACAAAAAAGGCTTTGTTACAATTAGTTGAGCATTTCATTATTTTCGCACTTAACGGCTGTGACTTATTTCTTACCGTAAACACATCTGCATGTACAGAATAACACATAAAGCATTTACCGAAATCTTCTTTTGACAATCTGATAAAATTTGAAAAGGATTTCAAAGCATCTTCCTGGTTAACTAGATAATCAGGTAAAAATGAAATAAGCTCTTATTATAGGTATGTGCAAATCTGATAACCGGAAATGCTCAAGATAGAGGCTAATAAGCATAACTTTTCATAAAGACTGGAAAAGAATTACAGGGGTAGGAGGGGCAATACCGCATTACCCCCTGGACTCGTAGATCTAAATCTTATTAAGATAAGTTCCTAAGTAACTCTTAGGCATGTTTAGTTAGATTGGTCTGCGGTCTTCATGTTCATACAAATTCAGCTACGTCCTCAGCTGACCATGGCCTAACATTACGTCATCATTTGATTATCTAACAAATGACCAAAATATTATAATTATTATTATTATTATTACTATTATTATTATTATTTTTATACACAAAATGAGTGTTAGTAAGCGATAGTTGTGACTTGCGGTTATATTTAAAGCTTAATAAAATTTACTTTTAAGCCCGCCCCCAAACACAAACAATTTAATCCAATTCAATTCATGCCAGTTTTATTTGGCATTAAACTACATATAGCGTATAGCCATTATTACATAATATAGGTATACTGTAAGACATTTTTACAATAAATTGTTCATAATATTTTACAAAATGTTTTCAGAGAAGTCTTCGTGAGATTTAGCAATTAACAACATGCGATATATACTTAATGTTGAAATAAACTGTTATTGTTGTCTATATATATATTTATACAAATATAATCATGCATATGTTATTTACGGTATGTCATTATGTAGATCTAACAATAATCAGAGTTTCTTACTTTAAGTGAAAAATATAAACGCACACCCCTCCTAATACAATTTATATATTGTTGTTTTCATTCTTATACCAACCTTTTACAAAGTGCATTAATCTAAGATTGTTTATCCAAAAACACACGTTCGAAATTAACTATTAAATTTCCCTATTTATAAACAGTGTGTACAAACTACATTATCCATTTCCGTGTTTATAACTAAATGAAATCATGTATAGATGACAGTATTTATACTCTCTATCTACAATGAGAAAATTGTATTTGTGAAACTTTATACACGTTGTTCGTCTATATTCTAGATTAGATTATAATCAGAAAAAAAATCGGGGTCAAGGCTCGTTCAAAATAGTTTAAAGGCAGACGGTACGTCATAATTACTTCTGCAGAGTCTAAAAAAATCATGTTGTTGTGCCAGCCCCAACCCTCCCCCTTCAACAACAACAACAAACAAACAAACAAAAACACGAACTAAATAATAATATAAAAAAGTATCTTATTGAACTGTTTAAATGACAACCGACTACCAACCCGCGCGGATTGTACGATGAATCATACCAATCATTGTGTTGACATTATAAAACCAGATTTTACCGGTGCTTAAGTAAATTAAGCGCGTGTTAAGTAGAATTGAATTGAATAAAATATGATATTTTAATCTATATGTGACAAAGTTTAGATATGACGTAACAGATACTGAGTGATAGATAGTGGGTCCGCGCTAGGTTCCCTTATAAAAAAGTCTTTCAAAGTCCTCGAAACTTCCATGATTTTCATAATTTTAATCATTTATAGATGAACAAACTATGAATTTTCATGTTGATGTAAGTTAGATATTAACGGCACTAAAAATCGTTTAGTAGCAGTTCAAATATGATTTGATTTTCTCGGCTTATTTTTTGACAATATTATGACTAAAACCATCATAACAACATCTTTGCATAAGTCATTTAATTCCTAGTTTGTTGTTCTGTATAACACTAAATAATTGAGCCGCGTCACGACAAAACCAAGATAGTGCGTTTGCGACCAGCATGGAACCAGACCAGCCTGCGCATTAGCGCAGTCTGATCAGGATCCATGCTGTTCGCTTACCAACTCTATTACAAGTAGAGAAACTAATAGCGAACAGCATGGATCCTGATCAGACTGCGCGGATGCGCAGGCTGGTCTACATCCATGCTGGTCGCAAACGCACTATGTTGGTTTTGTCATGGCGCGGCTCAAATTTAGTTATCTATCGTATTACAGGCCTCCTATAATGTACAAATAAACTTCAAAAAAGTGATAGTGGGTAATGCAACTGCTAACCAAAATATTTTAATATCAGATAGCCTTTTCGAAACAAAATATTTTATCTTCAAAGGCTATCGCGTGCACCCGGAAGAAATAAAAAAAGAGTTGTAACACGAAACAGTATCAACATAACGTTTTTTTCCAAAAAAGAAATATGATATTCCTTATTATTGTTATTATCCAAAGTTGCTTGTTTCTTTGTTTGGTTTTTAGCAATAAACCGATCCCACCAGAACGGAATGTTAATTTTGTAACAGGAGTTGCCAAGTTTTTTTAGTTGCAGATTCGAAAAACAAACAACAAACAGATCTGTCTATATTTTCAATATGCATTTTTAGTGAACTTTATTTTAAATAGATTAACTAAAGCTGGTTTTATACTAGTAACGGTGTCAAAAAATACATACCTTTTAAAATTAAAACTGACCGAATTCAGTATTTAAATTCACATAGTATAATCAATTTTAATCGGATTCCCTGCGTAAGGATTTACAAAATTAAAAAAGAAGAATTTTCGTTCTAAAAAGGCATGACAAGCAAATCTGTTTTTCTATTAACGTAAGTTCAACCATTCAACATATTAAATCATCGCGAAGGGGGGCAGAAAAAGAGAGAAAAAGAGAAAAAAGGTGTGCCGCGTCCGAAATTATCGACCACAAGTCGCTAATCAAACAAGCGATGTGTTTAGGAATATTAATTATTTAGCATTTCAATATGAAGATTTAAATCTGACGACATGGTTCAAGTCGCTTATATATGCATGACAAACTTCATAACAATAATGGGTGACAGGTCAATGAGTATAAGATTGTGTGCTTGTAATGCAATTTTGTATCAACTCAAATTGAATCCCACCCTTGGGGATTTTGGTCCATTAATTCTGTACACTGACCTTAGTAAGGAATAAGTACATTGCGGCCGTGATACAAATCATGTTTCATAACAATATTGAATACTGTTGCCATGGCAACGTCACGGCGACAGGTGATACACTAACACAATATTATGTGTTTATTTATGATTACAGAAAATATGTACGAGTAAAATCGTTACAGTTTGCGATAACCTAACATTGTATAAACAGAATCCATACATCATTTCATAACAGTAATTTGTACAATCTACAAATCGGCATTTTCCAAATACTGACAAATTCCACCGAGATAATAATCATAACAGAACAGAACAATAACTGATTATAACTATCACATTCTGTCTGGTATATTCACTTGCCAAAGGCAAAATCTATTAGTCATGCTATTTTATGACTACTAGTAAAATCAAATACAATTAAGCAGTGAAATTTGAAATTTAACATGATAGTAATCTGAATAATAAATTTAATTCATAAACATGAACAGCAAAAACCTACTATATTACTATATTTTTCTGCGTACATTTCATAAAATATTAATTAAAGCTACATATATTACATCATAATATGTTATTTGCATCGATTCCTACTATAATATTCATACTTAGTGCACATTTTCAGAATGAAAACATTTTGTCCTTAATCTAGGCTAAACGGATTAAATACCTCAAAGTATTATTGTTTTTCCGCATAAAACAAGCGATAATCGATTAAAAAACCATTAAGATTACTTCACCCACCTACCTATTCATGTAAATCCATTCCAATGTGTGTGTAACTTATATTTAATTCCGATGTGAACGGTAAATATAGTTCTTGTACAGATGACAGACGTTCAATATCAACAGTATTGGAAAGTAGTGACAACAGGTAAAATCTATACGCCATGTACAACTCACATAAACAAATACATCTCTATAACTTAACACATATGCATAACACTAATTGTTACGCATGTATTATCGCAGTATTATATTCATTTTCCAGTATGTTATAAATTCTGCATCGCTTTCTTTTACATATTGTTAACATTAATGGAATTCCGATTCACACGTAAAAGAAACGAGGCTGGGTCAACGTGTAGGAATAAATGAAGCTTTCTAATCGCATCTTGCAGGAAGTATCTTTATCGACGGAGGATGCGATCAAGAGGTCAAACATGTGAAAGAATGAGTAGCCGTGTTAGAAAATTGGCGTCTCGCCAGAAATTATTATACAAATGGTAAGTTCTCACCTTTGAATTTATTTTTCCATCAAAGGTGGTAAGAGATAGGATAAATATTTCCTTTCTATTATTGTTTTTTGTACTTGTATGTAATACATAAAGCTTATCTCAATTTGCTGATCACAATAGCTCATAGAAAACTTTTTTATTCTCCCCTAATGACTACTAAATAACTAATTATCAGGTTACCAGGTGCGAAGAGTTTTTCAATCATCGCAAATACATGTACACAATCTTCTGCAGTTTCATCATCTCAGTTAATTATAGTGAAATGGTTTATGAAAAACGGCAATTACTGTTAACATTAAAGTAGACTAAATATGTCAAAATGAATGACGCATCTGGCAGCAATTTATAAAGGTGAATAGAACCAAAATCTGATGACTGGACAATGTAAAGGAAATAAATCACCTCCAAACCAGACCATTTATTATGATAATACACTAAAAAATACAAAATAAAACAAAACATCGACACTGAAATGGAAACCGAAAATCATTTCATTCCACTGCACTCTCCATAACATATCTGATTCAGATTTTGATTCAACACCAAGTAGCATGTGTTAAAAAAGAAAAAAAAAGATTAAAAAGTCATTAAAATGAAAAGTTTATCACTAGCTGAATTTGAACTAAATATTGAGTAAAATCACGAGCATTACAGGACAAGGTTAATCTAATACGTGACACAAGTAAACTTACTTTGTAATTGTATAAAAACTGCCAACGACGCAAATGACGAACCTGAGCAGTATGGCCGAAGTAGATGCTGGACATTTCCGGCATAGACACAGGAGATGCTCACGAAAACGTCGAAAGAAAAATCTTAGGTTTGGCTAACAAGACTGAAGCGAATTTTTACAAAAGTGATGTAGATAAAGTCCATTTATTGGGAAAGAGAAGAAGTGATGCTACACTAAACAGACGAATTATCATTACAATTTACGAACTCAAAAGATGGAACGAGGCTCTTCGATGCAAGGAAATCACTTCCGAGTGACATCTTCGACTCTCTGACGAGAAGAAGAGATCAGATAGGATACGAAGCCAGAGAACTTAAAGAGAAGGCAAACTATTTAAAACATGGGTTGCCGGTGCTAACCTGATAACGTTTATGGAACTATGAAAAAAGGTGGTGAAGAATAAAAGTTCAAATAAAAACATGGACTCCATTCAGAGAATAAGAAGAACCAGGAAACTACACAACAGTGAATTCGCAGATAATATAAAACGTGCCTTCAGGTGTGTATTTACATTATAATGTCCTTATTGATCACCTTAATCTATTTTTAGAAAATAGTATTACACCTTACCTGTGCATTATATAATCCTATACAATTCTTAAATTCAGTTTTGTTTTTCACCACTGTGAATGTTTGTAAACTCAACAGGTAAAAATAACTAAACTTATTTGTATGGTTATTGAACTGGAAATTTGCCTTATTGGTATGGTTAATGAACTGGAAATTCAAATACAATTAAGACTGGTAACATTGAAAGTGGACAATCAAATTTGAGTACAAATATGGATATGGATATTTTTGTGGTGACTTACTTTATTCCGGGAGCGTGCACGTCGCAGAAAGAAACAGGGTATCAGCAGAAGATTTGAAGATCTCGGGATGGCGAAAATTAAACAGAGACCAGAACTTTACATGCGGACCAGCTGCAGATGTGCTGATTAGTCACTAGTGCCGAGGTGGTGATTGGCCCTACAAAGAAAGCAAAAACGAAGGAAGTGTTCTGGGGTACGAAACACACAAAGTGACTGCGTGGAAGGCATACAGGCTCTTTGCCTGGCACCAACAGTCCTTTTAAGGGCTACCTCTTTTTCATATGAAAATGTTTTCAATGAAATAAGTCGAGATTTGTACACTAAAGTATATACATATATTTTACATCTGTATGTTAATGCTATTCTTATTAGTTTGATTCTCTACCGGAAAAAATATAATTTAAGTCATTTTGCACAAATCCTAACATTTTCTGGAGAGGTTTAATCAAACCAAGGACCTATTTTTAGCGAGGTAAATGTCAAAATGGCTGCCAATTATTCATCAAAATATCAGAAGCATACGTCATAAATTTGAGTATATTAAGGATTTTTTTTTTAGAAACTAATATGCTATGTATATGTTCTACTGAGACCAAATTAGATTCTAATAATTACAATAATTAGGTTTTGCTTTCATGTTTCATAAAGCTCAGGGTGGGGGTCTTGTTTACAATTTATCATTCTTTAGATCAACAAAACGACTGGTCTCCTTTGAAAATTAACTTCCTGATTCTAATTAGGTTGAAATAAAAGATAAAAATCAGACTTATTTATTACGTTCATTATATATAGACCTCCTCACTGTATAGTTGACATTTGGGACAAATTAAACCCCTGCTTAGAAATGGCTCTAGAACACACACAACACTTAATATTAGTAGGAGATTTAAACGAAGATCAGCTCAATGTGCAAAACAATGACTCTAAAACGTTGGTCAAATAACATGACACATCTTATTAACAGACGACTAGGGTGAATCAATATTCCCAAACGCTTCTTTAACAAATATTTATCCCACGTTTTTGATTCAGAAGGTTTTGAAACTGGACCATTATGTAACTTTTGTTTAATATAAAAGTTGATTTTGATTCAAATAAGCCATTTTAAAAGAAAGTTTGAAACTATAAAAGAGCAGAATTTTTAAAATTAATTAGAGTTACTGACTGAACCTTCAATAATAATTTTAAATTATATAAATGAAGTTTGCAATACTTTAAAAAATCATGGATTTAGTTAATAAATGATGTAGCAGTTGGAAGCTTGCACATGTCTTGCATATGCCTCATTTTGGAAGGTGAAATAAAGAAAAAACTATCAAATTTTAGACGAATTTCATAAATAAGTTGTGTTGGTAAAGTAATGGAACGCATTTTATTTAACAGATGTACAATTATCCCAGTACAAATTATTTAATGTATCAAAATAAATCTACTTGCATTTTTGTGACATTTCTAAAGCATTCGATTAAGTTTTGCATACATCTTATCTTCAAAGTAAAACAATATGGCATACAAGGGAAACTAAACACATGGTTAAAAGACTAAATAACAAAACACAAAAGTTTTCATCTCGGCATTCCCTTCTTTATCTACTTTAGAATGTGGTGTTCCTCAAGGCTCGGTACCTGGTCCACTATTATTTTTAAGTTATGTCAATGACATAGCAGACTCACTCCTTAGTATTACTAGTTCTCTTTCTGTGTCAACTAAATGAGGAAAAACTTTAATTAAGGCTTTGGCGACAGTAACAAGATGGTCTAAGCAAATCAATTTCAATCCGGCAAAAACTGAAGCAATGTTGTTGTTGTTTTTTTTCTTTTCTTTCTAAAATGATCAAACCAAATTTCTTTTGATAATGTACATCTCGATTTTGCCGAACATAACAATCAACTTTGAGTCACGTTTAGTCAAAATGGGTCTTGCCATCAGCATATATCTTACATAGTACCAATAGCCTCTAAAATCCACGTTCCATGAAAATGCTCAAATTTATAATTGAAAGAGAAACACTTAAAGATATATATCATGTTAACGTCCAGATTTAGAAAACGTTTCTTTAGTCTGGGGTAACTGCGCGCAGTATGAGAGAGAAACATTAGAAAATATTCAATATGAAGCTGCTCGTGTCGTTACAGAAGTGAAAAGATCAGTATCTATACAAAAATTATGAATAAATATAGGTTGTGACTCGTTATCAGATTGAAGACACATTCAAAAAATAGTTTTAGTAGGCTATATAAAGGTAAAACATTGTTATTATTGCTATTCATTCTTATTGAAAATATTATTAATATTATTTTATTATGCTTATCTATATTTCTTTTCTTAATTTCTCATTCAATGTACATGTATTTATATAAACAAATTAAACATTTGTTGAAATTAGTTACTGACATATTACTTAAAATTTAACTTCATTGCATTTCGATATCACACAAATAATTCAAATAATTTAACCTTAATTTTAACTAACCTCAGGGAAGGGCCCACTATAATGTTGTTAGGTCTTTTGGACCAACCCTTTTGTATGTTCACTTGATGATTATGTCTGTAAAATTGTATATTTTGTACATTTATACAATGAAACATTATGGATCTAGGAGGCCCAGCTTTGCCAACTTGTCATGTGACTACTCCGTCCAATCTGACTAAAGTTCAGATCGTTTATATTGAGGAGCTGATTGAGGAGTGGAGACCGTCATTCGCTAACAAAGAAGCAAAAATGTGTGTATTTAAATTATTCGCTATTATTAAGAGTAAGTTATTGCTGTTTGAAACGTAGTGGTTTCATACACTTCGACATTCATTGATTTTATTTAGTTTTTATTATACATTCATGCGGAGAATAGAAAGCTGTTTTATAGGAAGTCTTTGATTTACCCCAATGTAACAATTCATTCCATTGAACCTAGGGCAATAAATTTAATTTATCTTAATATTTGATGCCATTTATTTTCCAATGAATGCATAATAAAGAGAGTTCTGGAATAAGGTTTTAATGGGTTAGGTTTCTGATACATAAACGCCTCTTTCTCTTACAGGCGTATGTGGAAAAGTTCCAATATACAGTATATGTTTACATGACAGCACGGAATACGCGTGTAGGATAAAGGTCAGTAAGATAAGACCGTCTCAAATACAACTACAATATTGTTGAAATTTCTTTAAATAAAAAATTATTTCACTTAAATAGAGAAACAAAGCCTGTGTTAAAAGATGACCGACAAAATATGATGCGATAATGTTGTCACATGATCTTAGCCTGACCACATTTAACAAATCTCACGTGGCTACGCATTCCGAAAATCACGTTGCTACGCGTTCCGAAATTTTGGTGGCTAGCGTACCAAATATCAGGTCACTCAAATGGTATTAATCTTTTTAAAACTATTTAAAGTATGTTATACCACGTGATAAATTCAGATAACTTACTATTTTGATATAATTTTTAATTCCTATTCTATTTCTTTAAAATTTATATTCATGCGCTATAGATATGAGTAGTTCCATGTATAGTTCATAATTATATTGGATAGCGTTTTGCAAAGAAACAATTAATTATTTTGTGGCATATATCAGGCCCTTGGAATATTTCCGGTTTGTGAATTAGTGAAACAAAATGGATTACATTTTGTACATCCACTTGACAACCTTAATAAGATTTCCACTTAAACATTATTCGGGTTAGACGGTTGGTAAACATTTTAAGCAATTATACCAATAAAGTTAATTTCGGTCGTTGAAAGTTGTATATATGATAGTCAACTGAAGTCAATGTCAATATCCCATTATTTGTGGCCGAACAAAAACTAGATCAATATAACATTTAGTTAAGAGAATTACATAACAGTTCAGAATTTAGAATTTTGTTGAAATAGTACTCACAAAAATCAAAAGCTATTCCCTCGTGTACACGTCACCGACAGGATATATCGATAACTGTAGTACTCGAAAGATTGTTCAACAAGTGACCCTCTTGACCCTCTATGTCACTAAGATAATATTATCCTGTATTACCAAATATCATTGCTTGTTATGATGTTTTAAACACAACATACATTATCTATATTCAGATAAATGTAATGCTTTAAATAGAAATCTTATTCTACGGAATCGTTTAAGTGCTATAAAACTCCTTCGCGAAAATGTCTTATTAGTCTACGACGCTAAAGCAAGCACAATGCATAAAGTTTTTAAAAAATATAGATTTTGTAAATTTAAAGTTTAATACAAATTGTGTACATTGTTGTATAAACAATGGTTTTTTGAACAAATGCCCACATATTGTTGAATTGCCTTGAGGTATATTTTTGATAATTTTCGGAGGTTATTAAAACATGTCATTATTTGTCGCGTATAATTTCACTAGAGATGTAGTGAAACGAAACGGAACCCACAGTATTTCCTTTTTTTATTTATATATACATATTACCGTTAAATGCTAAATAACAACAACTATTGAGCAAGGGCCTTATGTCACACCCATTTTGCATATTTTATGGCCCAATGATTTTGTTATTATTTCATAAAGTTTAAATTAAGTATTATTGTACATATATAATTGGCAATGATTCTATCTTTTCTGTTTTTCCTTAAGTGGCATAGTCGAAACAATGATGCCGGATAATAAGATAATCAGATCTGAACATGATTGTTTAATAAAGCAAAAATAGTATAAAATATTATCTAAAAAAATTATGATAATAATAATTTAAAGTTTATTTTACTTAAATCTAAAATAAAACGTTTAAATAATTCATTACCCTATACTTAATGTGATTTAACATTTAAATTTTGAATTTGTGTCTCTTTGGTCATGTGATTTTTAAAATTATAAAACAACAACATATTTTCATCTGATTAATTGTACTTGTGGGTGAGATACATCGCAAAATATCGTGGAGAAATAGAAATCAATGAATGAAGCAGGATATCTTATACTCAAATACGGAAAGAAATAGTTTGTAATGTAATAAAGAAAATTAATTTATACAATGTAACAAGTTATTTCATATTTTCTTAATCGCTGTTTAACAGTATTCTTCCATTGTTTGAAACTACTATGCATGTTTAATATACATTCCGCACAAGGTAAATGATATATGTTGATAACAACCCATAAAGTTGATATAAGAGGCAAAATTAAAAAAAATCTTGTTTTTTGGAGTTTTTTTTAAGAAATAAAACAGATATACCTCTATTTTAATTAATATCTGTTTTTGGTTAATAAGATATAACTCTACTACGACTGTATACTTCCTTTAAAAGTGTCTCGTCCGATATGTCGTAAAACTACATTATCTATTATAATAAAAGAAGAGTGTTTAATGTCAAACAGAAGTAATTTTGTGCATTGTACAAAACAAAACATACACATTTGTCAGTTACAGTTACAATAAATGTTATCAGTTCGAAATAATATTAAAGAGAATCTGCGATAG